ACTATTTTCATATTAAATTAAGTAAAACAATTTTTTTACATATTTTATATGAAAATATATTTTATATCAATCGTAAACTTTAAATTTATGATTCAATGCAACAAAATAAACACATTAAAAAGGTCAGGGATTGTACTTTTCTGGCCACTGAGCTGTTGACTTTAAGTAACTGTTGCCTTCTGAGCAAGTTGCATAAACCTGTATTAATGTCTCAARCTAAGCTGCCTTAAAGCCAGTATAGACCATAAATTACATCTCCCATAATGCATGTTGATTATGTATGGGAACTCCCTGTCGGAAAGTGGGAGAGCTCAGAATTCAAGACTCAAAAGTGAGTAAAACTCTCTTACTTTTACTTTTAATAGTATTTATGTATTATTTATTTCACATGTAGTGAGTACTATGTGTAAAAACACATAGTACTTTTCAGTYTTTATAAGAGATGTATTAAAACGCTATTTCAATGCAGGAAATACCATGTAGAGCTCAGTTATTGTTTGTTAAYGGTGCTCAGGTGTAGCAATGAGACAAGGAACGTGACATTTCATGTTTTTAGTTAAGTTTTTACACATGTTAAGTTAATCTCAACTGGCCCTTCGAAGGTCACCATAAGGCTCATTTGGCCCTTGGTGAAAATGAATTTGACACCCCTGTTCTAGATTWTAGTGTCTGGGTTATAACATTTTCATCTTATATTTTAAGTTTGAAAATAAACCAATAAATAAATTGGAGCGAGAGATAAAAAAAGAGAAATAACTCCTAGATTTTAAATGGTACTGCCTTTGCTGGCCCTCGAGGTGCAGACCTACCTTCCTCACAGTCGTGGCCCTCGTAGGGCCTTGGACACCAGCACTCGTAGCTCTGCCACAGGTTTACACAGCGGCCCCCGTTTTGGCACGGCTCATCCAGGCAGCGGTCCCGGTGGCTGCAGCCGGGGGCCACGTTAACCGCCGAGTCACTCAGCCATTCCTCAGGAACAACGAGCTGCCAGTCCACAAACACGTCCCGCATGCAGCCAATGAACGCAGGAGATGCAGACTTACTGGGACCGTTTGAGCTCTCGAGTGTCCCCCCGATAAAAGTGTTTTGAGGAGCGGTCTCGAGCCCCTCCAGGGGTCTTTGGAGCGTGACCGTTATGTGGCACGACTGGCCCGCACAGATCCCAGCATCGTCCATAAGTTTGAGGCTGACGGCCCGGTTGGTGAGCACGACCTCCACAGAATACCACTCTCCATCTGTGACGTTCAGCGGGAGATCCAGAACTCGACTGTCAGCCCCAGCAGAGTCCTGCCCTTTCAGAGAGAGACACAGCTGACCCCCCTCCAGCTCCAGACCCAGCAGGTACCCCCTGATGTTCCTTTGGAACAACAGCGCTCGGGGTAAAAYGGTCTTGAAGCTCAGGGTGATGTTGCAGGTCAGCTCAGCGTTCAGCAGGGGGTTGTGCAACAACAAGTACCCCCTGCGCTCAAAGGAGAACGAAGTGGGGGTGTTACAGAGGGGTCCGGTGAATCCAGGTGTGCAGGAACAGGTGTATCCGTGAGTCTTATCCAGCAGGAAGGGCGAACAGGAGCCTTGGTTTTGGCATTCATGTCCCTCACATCCCACCAACCTTACATCACAGTTTCCTCCTCCGTAAAGGACGCCATCAGGACTCTGTGTGAGGCAGCGACACGTGTAGCCCCCAACATGGCTCTCACACCTGCCCCCGTTCTGACACGGACTGGACTCGCACGGGTTTATCACGTCCTGACAGTGGGACCCTGTTAGAAGAAAAAAAAGTCACAAAAAAGAAGCCAACCTTTATGTGTCCTAAATTATTATTATTATTTTTATTCTTGAAGATGTTTTGCTTTCCATCAAAAAAGAATCAAGAGTTCCCTCAAGACATCTTCACCAGGAAATATTCTATGATGAATTTCTTGTTTGTGTTTTTGGATTTTTCCTATCTTGATACTTCCATTTTTCCAACGTAATCTCATACTATTTTAACAAGGTCCGCGGTTTTTCTCTGAAAATCAGTTCAACAGGTTTTCTATCTGATAAACTGTCAATTTCAGTTTTCTCTGCAGTTGTATTGTGTTTTAAATTCATTACAATCAACATTTTTTGCTCAGCTTTTAAAATTAATTTTATTTATTAATAAAGTTTTTTTCACCATTTTTACACATCAGCCATTTAAATATGCCTTTTAAAACAACTAAACTTGGCACAAAACATAAGGAAATTAGTGCTTGGTAGATTATTTCTTTGTTGTAACGATGCTTCTTGGCAATAAATCTTATACCGTTAGAAAGCCTGTTAATTTCCCTTTTAAATGGTGCTACTTTTGTAAGGAACATGCATTTGTGGGAGGAGCAGTAGAGCTGACTGTGTGGGTCGCGCACATGGAAAAATTTGCCAAATCTACTCTGCCGAACAGCTGATTTRTGCTGCTGTTGTTGACCCTTGCTTCAAGCTTCTGGTAACCCCAGGTGCTGCCAACCTGGATGCCAAGAAGCATTGTTACAACAACAAAATAATCTACTAAACACAAATTTCCTTACTTTTTCTGCCAAGTATATTTTTTACAACAAATTGCTTGTTTTAATTTGTTAAAGATGAAAGCATAAATAAAAGAGATGATTGGCTGTCATGTAACATCTTTATAAATTTAGTTCACACAAAAGGAAACAAACTCTTTTGTTACCTGTTACAAGCAACAACACCCATAAAATCCATGGTGCGGGTGTCCACATCATGCTGTCACGTTTGCCCCCAGAGCCTGTCTGGCTGCACCATATTAGTTTGTGTTTGCACTGGCCGTCCTGGCTGAGGTCTGCAGCTTGTGGACCTGTGTGTACTGAAGCATGCAGGGCTGAGCAGGTCCAGTCAGGAGACCAGCAAAGCCAGATCCTGGGGGATTAAGCTAATACTATTTGGCCACCTTACTGAGTCGGTGCCTCTGCGACTGGCAGGGAGTCCGTTTGCACAACACAGGTCTCAGCAGTTTCCTTTCCTATTTCAGCCTTTTATCTGTTAAAACTTTGAGATTATTAAGGAGAAGAGTGCTATGATTATAGTGTTTGTAAATGTTACAACCCCACTTCCAATGAAGATGGGACATTGTGTGAAAAAGAAATAAAGAGTATGTGATGATTTGAAAACTCTTCAACCTATACTCAGTTGAATACACCATAAAACAAGATATTTAATGTTAAAATGGATCAACTTTGTTGCTGTTTTTGCAAATAGTCACTCATTTTGAATTTGATGCCTGCAACACTTTACGAAAACATCTGTGACCGGGTTAGAATTGAGAATCGAGTGATTCCATATTTTTTCCATGTGGTTGGTCAATAAAAGTAACATTCACTGACTTCCACAATGTTTTTTTTCTTCATTTCTTTGAGTGTTCCTGAAAGCCAACAAGTTGCACTTTGGAATGACCTTATTATTTATCATGTTTTTGATCTGAGTTTGTTTTACAGAATGAAATGTCTGAATGTGTGCTCATCCAAGACTGGTGATTCCATACTTTTTGCCAGGAGTTGTATTCTGTTTTTCTTTCTGTTCCACACAACATCCCACTTTAACTGGAATTGGGGTTAAATTTTTGAAAACATTTAACTTTATTTACAATATTTTCCCATAGAAATACATTAAGATCTTTCAAATAAAAAAAAACATTGTTCTCTTTTAGATATGCAGGGAACTTGCTATTTTTTGTCTTGTTATGCTACTTTTAGCTTTAGCTTTTGCTCTGSTACTTGTTTCATCTGCCAAAAATTCTGCCTTTTTAACTTAAGTTTTAGCTTCTTCAGCACTAATTTTTCCTAGCTTACATTTGACTCAAAAAAAAATCCTATTAACAATGCACAGCTACATATAATAGCTACCTAGTACCAGAATAGGGATGTAACTTKGTGACAGTTTCAGTAATCAACCTGTTGTTCCTGAAGGACAGATGCAGATGAATCCTGCAGCCTGTCTCTGGTCATAGTGCTCAGGCAGCAGAGGTTCGCTGCCGTACAGGGCCTGCCATGACCTCTCGATGCAGCTGCCGCCGTGCATGCAGGGACTGCTGCTGCACTCGCTGACGTCTACCTCGCAGTGACGCCCCTCAAACCCTGCCATGAAGAGAAGATATTTCAGGTAAGGTCAGCAGGAAATCTGGACTTGCAGAATCTGAACGTCAGCTTGTTTTGTTTGTTTCACCAGGCCAGCAGGTGCAGGTGTAGTTCCCCTGGTTGTCCTGACAGGTGGCGCTGTTAAAGCAGGGTTCAGAGTGGCACTGTGGCAGTGGGGCCTCACAGTGYGGACCAGTGAATGCTGTGTATGAGCAGTCACAGCTGTATCTGAGACACATCAGAGAAAATGTTTTTTTAAAGCATCTCCTTAAGTCTTTCATGAACTTCATCTTATTTTCTTACCYGTTCACTCCGTCGATGCACAGAGCCCCGTTTTGGCACGGCTGCTCCCGGCACTCATCAGTGTCGATTTCGCATCGTTGGCCTTGGAAACCAGGGAGGCAGGTGCAGTCRAAGCCTCTGGTGTAGTTATGGCAACGGCCGCCATTTTGACATGGCTGTGATTGACAACCGTCAATCTGGAACTCACAAGTGGCTCCTGTGTGAACATCAAAGCAGTGCAGATGTCAGAGGGTGAGGTGGTCCGGCTGCACTCACTGACAGCTGGTGGTGGGGGGGAGTGAGCAAAGCTTTTATGTGAGCTGTCCTCTTTTATGTCACAGCAAAGCTTCTCTCTGCAGATGTTTGTCACTTTCATGTTGCTGAATCAAAAAAAAATCACAATACATAAAGTGCTCATTCTTTATTTGGGTATTTGTTTTTGTACGTGTAAAAATAATCTCCAAAACCAGTCAGCCACTCGCACCTGTTGACTCTCCCTAATTAGCTCAGYTGCCATTCCCTCATCAGCCTCTGCTCTATATATTCTGTCTCTTTCCACATCATTTCTCTTTTGTTTGGTGTTCTGGCTCCTAAGCCTGTTTCCCAGTTCTTCCCTTATTTGTAAATTTGCTGCCACGTCAGCTTTTTAATTCTTTATTTAATAAGTTTTATTTGAGTTCCTCATGTCGGCCTGCATTCTGTGTCCAAATCACAGCAAAAAAGAAAAAAAAAGAAGGCGGAGTAATTGTTTTAGTCAAACTTTGAAAATAATGTGATATTCTGTGATACCACACTGAGTATACCTTGTGGATGACTCAAAGCTGCTACTACCACGTCAAATTTCAGCACAATATCTGTAAAATGAACAGATCTATAGCCATTTTTGAGTTGGCTAATGTTAATTAGGTGCAGTGGCCATTTTTTGTTGGGTTGTTTCCCAAAGTTTAGTTTAGTTAGTTTTTTCATTTCATTAAAAAAAAAATTATACACATTCAAAACAAAAAATTCACATGTATACACAACAAAAAATATACAAATCAAATTGAAAGGAAAGGAGGCAGAAATAAGAAAAAAATCTAATATCTTCCCCTTTTCTCTATAATTAATTTCAAGCAATAGTAAGAAACAAAAACAAAATAAAACTTATATTACTTCTCAAACAACTTTGATTTACATTATACAATTTCATATTTCTTTAACAAACTTATTTTATCCTTCTCTTAAACAAACACACTGAACCGGCATTTTTGTAATCACTTTCCAGATGATTCCACAATCTCATTCCCTGAACCGAAGTACATCGGTCCTTCAAGTTTGTTCGAATTCTAGGTTTCACAAACATCTCAAGTCCTTTAAGATTATAAGAACTTTCTCTCTTAACAAAATATAACTGGATGTTTAAAGGTAACATTTTTTAATGAGCCAAAGTTATTCAGCTGTAGAAGTATCCAATTGTTACTTTCTGTGAGTTTGATTAAAATGATTATTGAGATATTTTGCTAACAGATAAACAAGGTCGATGCCAAYGATTATTACAAATGTTTAAAACTGAAATCTTGTGCAATGATTAGCGCTTAGAGCACATGTCAAACTCAAGGCTACTGTTTTAAAATAAGATGCTTTAAAGCCAGCATTGACCATAAACTACATCTCCCATAATGCATGTGATTAATTTACCCACAAATGATGGCATCCCACCACTGGGTGAAGGTAAACTGAGTTCAAAAGTAACTGGCAGCTGGCAAAATTTGCCCTGTAAAATCCCCATTTTGCCAGTTACTTTTTTTTGCTGCAGCCCAGTTGCACTGGGAAGTGGGAATTTTCCATTTACAAATCATCCCCATCCAGTGGAAATTCTCTGTTGGAAAGTGGGAGCAACTTCTACTCAGACTTCTAGAAAGCAGCAGCTCATCACAACTTGACAGTGAAAAGTATTTTTGAATAATTTGTTTCACATTCAGACAATCGTAMGTGGAGTACTTTTCAATCTTTAGAAGAGGACGTGTTAAAACACTGTTTCTATGCAGGAAATACCAAGTAGAGCTCAGTTATTCTTTGTTAGCGGTGCTCCACGGAATGAGGAACGTGACGTTTTGTGTTCAGTTGAAGTTAAACACGAAATGCTTAAGTTAATTACAACTGGTCCTTTGAGGGCCACCGTAACGCTCATGTGGCCCTCGGTGAAAACGAGTTTGACACTCCTGACTTGGAGTGTGTGTTGTGAAATAGTCTTGATTACATTATCAGCAAATTTCAGCACAGTATCTGTAAAACTGACTGAATTATAGCCATGTCTGTGTTTTCCAATGTCAGTTCACTGTGGCAGCCGGCTTCATTTGGACTGGCTCCAAAAGTTTAAAAGGGTACATCTGAGGAATTTTTCTTGCAAGTTTCAATAAAATCCAGATATTTTACAAACAACCTAAATAGGTATATTCGGATGGGCATTGCATTCAGCAAATAAAAAAATTAGACTCCTGATCTCACACTTACAAAATCAGGATCTCATAATTACGAGAAAATATCTCATGAGATCCTGATCTCATAATTATGAAATCAGGAGGCTAATTGGTTTTATTTGGTGAATAATGCTCTTCCGTAGGTACACACACACAAGGGCAAAAACATATCTTTGACTTTGGTCAGTGGGTGGTAATTATTTTTTGCTGGGTGTGTTCACTTGAAATCTATTTTGGGATGAATTTTTTCTTTCTTTCTTTCTTTCTTTCTTTCTTTCTTTCTTTCTTTCTTTCTTTCTTTCTTTCTTTCTTTCTTTCTTTCTTTCTTTCTTTCTTTCTTTCTTTCTTTCTTTCTTTCAGTAGAAAGTAGAACTGACTATTAGTTCCTTGGTTTCTTCATCATCAGTGACTTTTTTAAAGAAGAAAGAGAAGAAAAAAGTGAAATGTAATGGGAATGAGTGAAAGAGAGATTAGAAGTTATGTGAAATATATATCGAGAAAACACAAGACAACACACCGTATATAATAATAAGGATTATAACCTTGTTGAAAGGTGTGTGTGTGTGTGTATATATATATATATATAAACATACCCATACCTACATACATACACATACCATTCAATCAGTGTCCGAATAGATTTAAATACCCATTTGTGTGCGGTTGTGAGCATGCAAGTATATATAAAAGACGGGATGAAACTTTAAAGACTTTCTCACCTGTGAATCCTGCAGAACACAGACAGAAGAATCGTCCCACTCTGTCTATGCAGGTGGCCCCGTTCCTGCAGGGCTGTGAAACGCACTCGTTCACATCTATCTGGCAGCGAGCACCTTGGAAACCTGGCACGCAGAAGCAGGAGTAGCCGTCCCCACGGTTTCTGCATATAGCTTGGTTTTGGCACGGGTTTGGGAGGCAGTGGTCCACAGTTGGAGGCAGCTTGTTAAGGGATGCACCTAGGAAACACATCGYATTTAGAAGCAGACAAACCCTATTTCTGACATATTTACAGCTTTCGTTTATGTCATTATTTAAAGACGAACTCAATAAAAGACAACCCGTTCGCTTTCTTCTTTATTTGAATAATTTTAAGAAAATTACTCAAATTTCCCTCTAAACACTAATTCTTTGCACCCGTGTACATCCATGAAGACATCTTGCCTTCAATAGCTTCATTATTTCAACCATAAACCTCTATTCCTCCCATTAAAGCTTGATTAAAGCATGAGCAAGCAGCTGTTGCTACCAGCGTTTTATTTTTAAACATTTAAGGGCCTCTTGGCTGCCTGCCATGATATCCACTTATCCCACTTAGCTTTAGCATTCAATTAGTTTCCAGGCGACAGAACTAATTAAAGGTTTTCTTCTTTTCATTCATGCATTTAGTGTGCATTTAATCAGGAGGTCATTCAAAATCCCAGTTAAAGCAGGATTTACCACTTATTTTAATTAGAACATGATATAAATTYGAAATCTAGGATCAACCCTCCGTGACAACAATGAAAATCACCAATTATTACTCCATACAGGACTTCAACTTTGTATCAAACCTTATAGACCTGATGAAATAATGAACTATTTATTTGTTTAAATCCAACATTTACTGGCCCAGCATTGCTTGAAGAAATGCATTTCTCTAAATTCAGCCTAACATTTGTTATAATCATTTTTATGTTTTTTAAAGGGCCAATATTATGTGTTTCTCAGGCATACATTTAAATACTATACCATAATAAAGTATCTGTCAACTTTAGCTGTTATTAAAATGCTGTTTTTATGTTTAAATAGAAAATAAACTTATCTTCTCATCACTTCCTCTTCTAAATGCATTGAAATTGGCCTCTGTCTCTTTAAGAAACACCTTCCGCTTCTGTCTCGCCCACTTCGGTGGGGGTGCCATGATGTGTTTACTTGGCATCTGAAAATACATTTCCTCAAAGGTATTTTTAATCTGAAAAGAGCTTCACTGAGTGAAAACTAATGTTGAGAGCTCAGCAGACAGTTTAAGTTTCACTTTCACTTTCACCCGAGAGCCTGCAGGAGTCATGGGCAGGGGTGTGTGGGGAGGGGGCGCTCCGCCATGAGGAAGTTGGGCTTAAAGACACGTCCCAGGGGCATTTCAGGTCCCAAAAGGTGTTTCTGGTCCCCACCTGTCGTTTTGCTCCTCAGCATGGCTTCCTAAAAATGCTGCAGGATTTCTCAAACATGCATGAATGAGTCAAAGCAAGGCTTTGGGYATGTTTTTTATGAGAGTATAACATTATAACATGATATAAAACTCCAAAAAGTTGATTTTACATGATATTGCCCCTTTAATGTTGACTAGATTGGGTGACCCTCATGAACTGTAGATGTACATCCAATGAACATCATCTGAGAGTTTCATTAAAATCCATCCAGTGGTTCATGAGATATTTTGCTAACATTACAAACACACACATTCAAATTTGTTATTGCCTCTTGCCTTTGGGAGCAGGGGATTTAAATTTTTTTAAATGATATAACAATATTCTAGTTGTACCAAATTGCTAACATGCATTATAATCTATATGAAAACAATAACAGCTCCAGGTAATGTTCCTAATTCTTTAAAACCATTAAACCCATGCATTTTCTCAAAGTTTTCATAGATTTAAAATAGAAAAAAATGGTTTTACTGCCATCTGCAAAAGCCCAGTGTCTAAAGAACCTCTCAGTTCCACAATGAAGCATTTTTTTTGGAGGGTCGTTAATCATGCCTGCCCTGAGACTTCCTCCCTGCAGTTCTTACTGTAGAAATGCTAGAAAAAATGTCAAAACAAGCTTTTGGCAAGGTCTCGGCTGGCAAACTTCAGGCAGAACAAAAGGACCAGCTCAGAAGCAATGAGCCATGTAATGGACCCAATGTAAAAACAAAAATCACAGACATAATGACATGAAAAGGAGGCTTCAGATCCGTTCAAGTGTTGCTTCTATTAGACAACAATCAGACTGCAGCTCATTCTGAAGTCTCGAAAGTGAAAAAGACAGGACTTCAGATAGTGTTCTGCACGATGAGTGAAAGAATAATTTAAAAGCTCATCAGAGGACATTGAATTTGGTCCTGCTGACACGGACTGAGACCCTTCTAACCACACAAAGTAATCACCCTTAAGGAGCGCAATCAGGCAGAGAGACTTTTAAAGATGCAGAATAGCACAACTCAAACACCAGTCCTCTGACACTGGAGGAGGTCCGTCAGTTTCAATGAATAAGCTGCAGTTTYCCACCAGCGTCCTGACTCGGACACCTCTTGATGGAGAACATGACAAAAATTAAAACCATCAACAACAAATCAGTCCCAGTTACAGCCAGGATTAAACTTTAAGTGCCTGTGACATGCATAGTCTTCAAATACAAAAAAAAAAAATCAAAGAAAACATCTTTATATTTAAGAAAATTGGAATAATACACACGATTTTACCCATTTTGTCCTTTAACTGGCATTTTTTCTTTGACTCAGCCAAAGTGAAACAGGAAGTGACATCAAAGGGGAACTCTTTAACAAAGAAAACTCTCTGGTCTTTGTTGAAACAATATCATTTGAACTCTGACTCTTATTCATCTCTCTCTAATAGTGGCTCAAAATAATCTTAAGAAACATCAGATTCTTCTCTACAGTCTGGGTTGTTAGTTGTTGTAGCGCTGCTCAGTTCCCATTCAGACGTTCCCCTTTGACATCACTTCCTGTTACTTTACAGGCAAAAATCTCAACAACTGTTCATCACAACGACATGAAATTTCTTTTGCAGTATTTTTTCAATGACATCTTTTCAAAAATGCATTCATATGTATTACAAAAAAAAATGGCCGGCACAGGCACTTTAAATCCAGCCCGGACTAAATTAGATAATTTCTGCATTCAACCAATTTTTCATTGAAACAGAGCTGAGCATCGTTCAGAGCCAGGGCCAACCGCTCCAGCCAAGCTCACATCCACCCCCCCCCCACCCCCTCCAGAGTGCAAGGCTCCTTCATATGTAAATCACTACTGAGGCTCTTTGTTTGCTCCTATCTGAAAAGGTCCTAAAACAGCACCTGWGGGGCACCTGACCTCCGCTCTGCACTGATGCATGTCGCTGCTGCATGTGCGTCTGTTCGAGCGCAGATAAGGAGACGTGTTGTTATACAGCGTTTTGGACAGAGACAGACTTCTTGTTTGTCCTCAGCACCCCCCTCGTTCTGTCTCCTGAACCTTTTCATCGCTCACTGTAGGCTGTCCTCTCATTGTTAGAGCTCTTTTTAGTCATCTTTTGCTTCTCAGTGTGTAGAAAATGAATGAAGAATGCAGGCTATGATGTCACCTCGCAGACATGTCATTGAAATTCCAAGCATGAACTGGTTAAAATGCATTGCTCACATACATTTTAGCTACTTTTGAGTGTTATAAAAGGAGCATGGTTTTGATCTGTTAGCTTCAGAGTGTCTCTCGTGAAGGGAAACAGAGATGTCAACTCTTGGTTTCTAGCTTAATAACTAGGGGGGAAATCTTCTTGCAAAAATTTACCACACAATATAAATCAAAGAGCAATATCTAATGCGAATACGTGTTGAGGTAAATAATAAAAACTTAACAAAAGCACTTACCATCAATCGCAAAAAGTGAAGAGATAAAAAGCATGCAGGCAAGAGTATCAAAAGTGTGCACAAAGTGGATAAAAGACATTTTCATGATGGGAAATCATCCTGTTCGTTGTATTCCAGTCTAATCATCAGCAGATCTCCTCTTCTCTTGGATTTCTCTGCTCCTGCCTGCAGCAACTCAGCTGTTGTCAACTCCAGACACACTTGATGCTCATTTGTCCTCTGTTCATGCTGGAGTGCCATCCAGAGCCTCCATCACGCATGAGACAATTACAGACTGGAGCGTGGCGTTCAAGGGGGTGAAAACACACACACACACACACACACACACACACACACACACACACACACACACACACACACACACAC